CCCAATACCAAGAAAGTACTTGAGAGGATCTAAATCTTTGACATTAAAAACATGGCTACGATCCTTTTTAACTTGAGCAATTCATGTAGCATCATCACCAATAAGAATAATATCATCAACATTGACAAGCAAAATGATGCACCGTCCATTCGCTTGTCGCCTAATGAAGCAGGTATGATCAGAGTGACATTAAATGAAACCCATAGACAAGATAACCTTGTTGAACCGACTAAACCAAGCTCGAGGAGACTATTTCAAACCATACATAGATTTGCGAAGACGACACTTTCCAAGCATACTCCTCCTCAACTCGAAAATCGGGTGGAGGATCCATATAGATAGTCTCAAGTAATTTCCCATGTAGAATAGCATTTTTGACATCAAGTTGATGAAGAGGCCAAGAATGATTAGCTGCTAAGGAAACAAGAAGTTGAACAGAGGTCAACTTTGCCATTGGCGCAAATGTAGCTCCAAAATCTTGGCCATGGACTTGGGTGTAGCCCTTGGCAACCAAACAAGCTTTATAGCAATCCACAGACCCATCAACAAGATACTTAATAGTGAATACCCATTTACACCTAACCGTCTTGGCAGAAGGAGGCAACGAAACAAGTTCCCATGTCTAATTGTGTTCTAACGTATCCATTTCAACCTGCATAGCTGCCACCCACTTGGGATTTTGGAGGACCTCAAAGACAGAGCGAGAGATGGAGACAAACTCAAGTTTGCCTAAAAAAGAGCGATAAGAACCTGTAAGACCATCATAAGAGAGATACTGGGAAATAGGATAATTAGTACTACAAAGCCAACCATAATGGGATGGGGGGCAACGCTCTGTGTCGAGATACTAAGAGAAACGAGTAGGTGCAATATGAGAAAGTGACTTACCTGACCTGAGAGGAGAAGAAGAGGTTGGCGGGGGCCAAAGGCGATTGGTGTAAACCTACAGAGGCAGGTCAGATGGAAAAGATGGAAAAGGGCCAGGAGCAGGGTAATTATTCTAAGTGTTGGAGATATCTGTATCAAAGAAGGGAATAAGACGAGTAGAATGAGACTGGGGAGATGGTGGAATAGCACTAGGAACCTGCAAAGGAATGTTAGAACCAAAAAACAGCAAATCCTCACAAAAAGTAACATCCAAAGAATTATAAAACTGCCGAGACACTAGATCATAACACCAATACCCTTTAGATAAAAAGGAATACCCTAGAAAAATACAACGAATAGACAGCAGTAAGAACAGCCATATGCCAGTAACTTGGGAACATTCATACCACGAAGAAGACACCGAACCATAGACATAATATGGCGATTTTTACGTTCAGCCACCCCATTTTGTTTAGGTGTACGAGGACAAGTGAGCTGCTGGAGAATACCCACTTGATTAAGGTGGAAGCGAAAAGCATTTGAGATGTACTCCCCCCCATTATCAGAGGCGGATATTCCGAACAACAGACTTAAATTGGGTCATTTGTAGAAACTGAACAAAAATGGGGAAAACCTCGTATTTACACCGAATAAGGTAAACCCATGTACATCGAGTGTGGTCATCAATAAAAGTTACATAATATCTATAGCCGAACAAAGCAAGTACAGAAGATGGACGCCAAACATCAGAATAAATGAGATCAAAAGCACACGGCGCACTAGTCATGTGAGGAATATAATTATGACGCGTATGTTTAGCCAACTCACAAACCACACAATGAAAATGAGAATCGTTACAAGCCCTATTTAAAGACGAAAAAAGTAAATATAAATATTGAAAGTTTGCATGACCTAAACGGGCATGCCATAAGGCTAAAGTTTGACTAGAAAAAACACAAGACACTGAAGTAGGCAAAACAGATGCTTGTAAACTAGATAAAGGAGGTGGTGGTGGCAAAGGAGGTGGGTCCCTGAAGTAAGACAGCCCATTGCGCTCATATCCACTGTCAAAAATCCTCTTCGAATTCAGATCCTGTAAAACACAAGAAGTGGGTAAGAAGATGACGGTACAATTAAAAGTTTTGGCAAGACCACTAACAGATAACAGATTATAGGCAAATTTAGGAACATGAAGAACATATGAGAGAGATATATCAGGAAATAAAAAGACAACTCCCTTATGGGTCAGAAGAGAGAGAGCCATCAGCAAGACAGATAGTTTGATCCATAGTAAGGGGGACCGAAGAAGAAAGAAAAGAAAACTCACTAGTCATATGATCATTAGCCCCCGAGTCCAGAACCCATGTGGGACGAGCAGACCAAACATGGAAAGTAGTAAAAGTACCTGTGGCAAGGGTAGTTGTGGATGGGCCCGACTGATGAGTAGTGAGAGAGCCAAGATGGGCTTGAAGCTGACCAATCTGAGTCTAAAGAAGAGGTAGGTCGGGAACACTAGATGGCACTGTAGCAGGTACTGATTCCACAATAGCCGCAGTGCAAGTGGTACCATGATTCTGAGCAAACCGTTGCTTCAACTCAGGGTGAAGCTTGAAACAATAGGCCTTAATATGGCCAGTTACCCCACAATGGTGACAAGTAATCTTCCCGAAAGAACTGCAGAAACCAAAGCTAGTAGCAAGGGCCATCTGATCGGGAACAGGAGAAGGCTCTAGGATGGTAGTGAAAGCAGACTGAACCAAACAGCAACAATGCTTGTCACTATCAATAGTAGCAAAGGCCTCATATAAAGATGGCATAGGTGAGGTGTTCAAAATCTGAATTCAAAGAGACTCAAATTCAGGTTTTAAACCCATAAGAAATTGGTAAGTATGCTGTGAGTCCAAACGTTTAGAGACAATAGGTGCGGCCTCCACTGGAAAGTCGCTCAAGGGCTCATATTGAGTCAATTCCTCCCGCCGAGCCAGCAAATACCCAAAGAACTTTGCAACTGAGAGTCCCAAAGCTGTCTGAGAAACATGTGAGATATCCTGATAAAGCTCAAATATGCGAGCATCATTATGAGCATGAGCATACATCTGAGTAAGAGCCTTCCATAGACAGGGAACTATGTCACAATACATGAACATGTGATAAATCCAATCTTCCATATAGTTGAACATCCAGCCTAAGATAATACAATTATCAATATCCCACTGTTACACTCTTAGGATCATCATCAGGAGGTTGGGCTTCAATCATAAGGAGCCAATGAGACTTGCCTTTGCCCCCCAAACACAATTTGAGGGAACAACTCCATGCAGCAAAATTCTTCCCATTCAACAAGAGACTCGTAATACAATGAGCCGAAGCTTGTTGAGAGAGGGAAAATCAAACCCAATCAATTTACCAAGAATAAGAGATGCATCAATCCCACTAGAAACGGTGGAGTCAGTCATGATAACAATTGTTAGAATAGTAAACAGAGGGGAAATAATATGTATTGTATTGAATGATAGAAGGCCTGTATATATAGGCTGAGAAAGAGTATCCTGTTAAAAATCTAACTATGAGAAAGAGTATTTTATAAGAGACCTAACTATGGCAATACCTAATATATCTAGGAAATCAATACCTAATATATGTAGGAATATATATCATATATACATTAACATCCCCCCTCAAACTCAAGGAGGATAAGCATCTTGAGTTTGGAGAGAAAAACTTAAACATGAAATAAAACTAAATAAAATAAAAGGCAAATAGATTGCAAAATCTAAACGGGAGCGCAAGGGCGCTTGAAATAGATCAGAGGCCGAAACTAAAGCCAAGAGATAGTTTATGGTCGTGTCGGACCATTTTAGGAACTGGCTGAAACTAATGCCAGGATAGTTTAAGGTCATGTCGAACTAATGCCGAGAGAGTGTTTATGGTCATGTTGGACCGTTATAGCAGCTAACCAGAATCATTGTTGGGACAGTTTGAAGTGGTCATGTTGGACCGATGTAAGAGCTAACCGGAATCAATGTCGGGATAGTTTAAAGGGGTCATGCCGGACCGATGTAAGAGCTAATCAGAAAAATAATTATTTTGCTCATTAGAAAGTGTGCTATACAATATTAAATCAGTGATTGACACAATCACAGATTATATATATAATACTAAATATAAAAAGATTCTATATACTTTAATTTCTATATTCAACACTCCCCCTCAAGCTGGTTTGAAGATATTCAACAATCGTAGCTTGCCAATGGATGACTAGAAGCCGAAAAACACTCAACAGCTAGTTCAAATAAATGCTACCGAACAAATTTGGTAATCCACTAAATAAAAAAAAGTCGAAAAGTGCTTAATATATAAGCACCACACCCTAGAAAGGAGGAAAAAATAGGGACTGAACTGTCCTAAAAGAACTGCTAAAGCGTCTATGGCTAGGAAATACTCTGGTCGGCAACCAACAAGACCCTGGTCAGCATTAAAGGCCAGAGCTAATGCCGGCAGATAATTTATGGTCATGTTGGACCATTACAGGAGCTAACCGGAATCAATGTCGGGACAGTTTGAAGGGGTCATGCCAGACCGATGTAAGAGCCAATTGGAATCAATGTCGAGACAGTTTACAGGGGTCATACTGGACCGATGTAAGAGCTAACCGGAATCAATGTCGAGATCGTTTACAGGTAATTTTTTTTAAAAAAAATAAGGAAACAATAACTTTTCTGAGTTGACGGCGGAACCCTACGCTTTTCGACACCGTTCGCTGGTTTTCCGATGATCGATTTTTTTGAAAGAACTTGCTTGCTTTGCTTTTGCTTTTGCGTTTCCGTTTCCATTTCCTTGCGATTCTTTTCCTTCTCGTCCCTTGAAGATGATGAGCAAGTGAACATGATCGATGACCAAAACTTGTTTTTTAAATCAGAACACTTCTTTACTTCTTATATATAAAAAATTAACTTTTTAACATCATCCCAAAACATCACACTCCCACAAGGATTATACATGGCAATGGACCGCAGAACCTATTAATATCTTCATAGCTAAAGAAGCAAAATCATCAATGGTGATTGGAACAAAGGCACAGGAGCTTAAATTACAACCCAGAGGACATAGGATTCACAGTTCTGCTAAATCCATTAAGGGCACAGCCCTAGACATCCGACCAATCCTTGCCGGTAGGGCAAGAAGGTCTTCTTCTTCATCTCCTCCGCCTGTGCTCTATTCGCACTGTAATGCAACTCGCGAGCCGACGGCGGAACCCTACGCTTTTCGATGCCGTTCGTTGGTTTTTTGGCGATCGGTTTGCTTCGCTTTTGCTTTTGCATTTCCGTTTCCTTGCGATTCTTTTCCTTCTCGTCCGTTGAAGATGATGAGCAAGTGAACGTGATCGATGACCAGAACTTCTTTTTGTTGCCTCTACCTTCGCTTTTGCTTCTGTATAATAGATCCTTGAAGAATATCCACTTCTTCGAGTTCCTTCCAGACGATGAAGACCTCGAAGACGAAGCAGAGCCCAACGGTGTTGTATCGATCGACGAAGTTTTAACTTCTTTGTTCTCAGAATCATCCAACTCCAGAATGCGATGATGATAAGAGGCCTCATTTTCTTCGTGTTCTTGCCATTGGAATTGTGCTGTTCGTTGTGGTGACATCGACCGGATCTGACCGTTCAAGAACAACTCGTCGGCCGAACTCATATCACTTGGTGAGAACCCAAAAGAAAATTCGAACTCGAACGAGCCAGACTCAGCGTCGTTGGTGTCGCCATTGTTGGAGGAGTGAAGGTTGATGTTTGGTTTGCCATTGTTACGGTTTGAAAAGAGGATTATCTCTGTCTAATTTTCCGTCTGAGAGAGTTGGGGTGTGCTTAGGGAGACTCATTCACAAAGCTCTCTGTCTAATTATTGTGTGTCCAACAAGCCAGTCAAACTCGTTTCAGTCCCTAAACCCACCCCAACTCTCTCTCAAACGGAAAAACCCCACCACCTTCAATGTACTCAACTTTTTACTCTTTATTTTTTGTTTTTTTTTCCTCTTATCATTCACTGACATGTGTCAGTGGGGATTGTGGTTGTGGGGGTCCTTCATGATTTCTGCTCTCGAACTCACACCAATAATCCTCTTTTCAAACCGTAACAATGGCGAACCAAACGTCAACCTTCACTCCTCCAACAATGGCGACACCAACGACGCTGAGTCTGGCTCGTTCGAGTTCGAATTTTCTTCTGGGTTCTCACCGAGTGATATGAGTTCAGCCAACGAGTTGTTCTTGAAATGTCAAATTCGGTCGATGTCACCACAACGAACAGCACAGTTCTAATGGCAAGAACACGAAGAAAATGAGGCCTCTCATCATCATCGCATTCTGGAGTTGGATGATTCTGAGAACAAAGAAGCTGAAACTCTGTCGATCGATACAACACCGTTAGGCTTTGCTTTGTCTTCAAGGTCTTCATCGTCTGAAAGGAACTCGAAGAAGTGGATATTCTTCAAGGATCTATTGTACAGAAGCAAAAGCGAAAGTAGAGGCAACAAAAAGAAGTTCTGGTCATCGATCACGTTCACTTGCTCATCATCTTCAAGGGACGAGAAGGAAAAGAATCGCAAGAAAACGGAAACGCAAAAGCAAAAGCGAAGCAAACAAATTCTCCCAAAAAAACCAATCGCCGGAAAACCAGCGAACGGCGTCGAAAAGCGTAGGGTTCCGCCGTCGGCTCACGAGTTGCATTACACTGCGAATAAAGCACAGGCGGAGGAGATGAAGAAGAAGACCTTCTTGCCCTACCGACAAGGACTGGTCGGATGTCTAGGGCTGTGCCCTGAATGGATTTACCAGAACTTTGAACCCTGTGTCCTCTGGGTTGTAATTTAAGCTCCTGTGCCTTTGTTCTAATCACCATTGATGATTTTGGTTTTTTAGCTATGAAGATATTATTAGGTTCTGCGATACATGGCGATCCATTGCCATGTATAATCCTTGTGGGAGTGTGATGTTTTGGGATGATGTTAAAAAGTTGATTTTTTATTTTTTTTATATATAAAAAGTAAAGAAGTGTTCAGATTTTAAAAAGTTCAAAAAATTAAAAAGTTAATCTTTCCAAATTACCTCTGAGTCTCTCTCAGTTATGTAATATTTTATTATAAAGTAAATTATTAAATTAAGTTTGTATAAGATTGCTATTCATCCTAAAAGTGTTTAATTATGATTTTTTTAATATAATTTCTTATTTTTTAAATATGACAACGGAATAGGTTGAGGTCCGACAAGCGGCCAAGGCAAGGTTGCCGCCTGCCGGTAAGGCAAAGAACACCAAGAGCTTAACCTATAGCTTTGATACCATGTTAGAATAGTAGAGAGAGGAGAAATAATATGTATTGTATTGAATGATAGAAGGCTTGTATATATAGGCTGAGAAAGAGTACCCTACTAGAAATCTAACTATGAGAAAGAGTATCCTATAAGAAACCTAACTATGGCAATACCTAATATATCTAGGAAATCAATACCTAATATATGTAGGAATATATACCATATATACATTAATAACAATCACAGCAAAGCAAACAACCGACCAAATCACAGCAAAGGCCGGGAAAAAAAACGACGTACTATAAACGCTACCGAATACACCGATAGCCGAACACAACAGAAAAACAATCTAAAAAGTGCTAACCACATCAGCACACGAACCCTGTAAGGGTAAAGAGAGAAGAAAAAAACACCCCGAAAAGGAAGCCGCACTAGACCCAAGGCAGGGAGGGTCTAGTCGGCACCTAAGGAAGCTGCGACAGTGAGGAAGAGGGACTACCGAGGGGCTGGGAAGGAAGAGCAAGGGCTATCAGGGCTTGAGAAAGAAGAAGAAGGGCTTTCGGCTTCAAATGATGAAGTAGCCAACTTGTGTCTCATGGCCCTAGGAGAAGAAGAATCCACTCAATATGAGATAACTTTTAATTATGAAGAACTTGAGAGTGCTTTTAATGAATTACGTGATGAGTTTAGAAAAGTATGTACTAAAAATAATGTGTTAAAGAAATTAGTAGCATCCTCATCTAACAATGTAGATGAATTGAAGAAAGAAAACCTTGTTTTGAAAAATGACCTTAGCACTATTTCTAATGAGAAATTTGTCTTAAAAAACAGCGTTGATGATTTAAATAAAACTCTTGAAAATTTTGTAAAAGGAAGAGATAACCTCAACAAGTTTCTTGGTAATCAAAGATGTATTTTTGATAAAGCCGGTATTGGCTATGATCCCATTAAGAAACAAAAGAACCTCAAAACAATTTTTGAAAAAACACCTCCTATGACACACCCTCATATTACTTGTCATTATTGTAAGAAAAAAGATCATTATATCTCTACTTGTCCATTCAATAAGAATATGAACATGGGAACTAAAAATATTTGGGTGGTAAAAGGAACTAACAATACCAACCAAAAAAGACCCAAGAAATCATGGGTACCAAAATCCAACAATTGATTATCTTATTGTAGGTATGCCTTAAGTCCAAAGCAAAAGACAGAAGATGGTACCTTAATAGTGGATACTCTAGACACATGACCGGAGAAAAATCATTCTTCACTACTCTATGATCCAAAGATGGAGGATTTGTCACTTTCGGAGACAACAAAAAGGGAAAAATTATTGGCATTGGTAGCATCGGTATCTCTCCTAACCCTTCTATTGAAAATGCTCTCCTTATAGATGGACTTAAGTATAATTTACTTAGTATTAGTCAATTATTTGATAATGATAATTGAGTTATTTTTGATAAATCACATTGTACAATTAAAAGCACAATTGGTCACAAAACACTATTTGTTGGTAATCGCCTTGATAATGTCCATGTTTTTCATCTCAATGATCTCTATGCTAGTGATGTCAAATGTTTATATGTTATTAGGGATAGTAGTTGGTTATGGGATAGAAGACTTGGTAATGCTCAATTGCTAAACTTTCGAGAAAGGATTTGGTCGTTGAACTTCCAAAAATTAAATTCGAAAAAGATCGACTTTGTGGTGCTTGTCAACAAGGAAAGCAAACCAAAACATCTTTTAAATCAAAATCTCGTATTTCCACTATTATACCTTTACAATTGTTGCATATAGATTTATTTGGTCCCTCAAGAACATCTAGACTTGGTGGTAAACATTATTGTCTTGTTGTTGTTGACGATTTTTCAAGATTTACATGGGTTATGTTTTTAGCACACAAAGATGAGACATTTTCTTCTTTCATTAAACTTTGTCAGAAAATTCAAAATGAAAAAGGTTTTCTTATTATTAATATTCGAACCGACTATAATAGAAAACTTAAAAATGAAAATTTGAATTATTTTGTGATGAGCATGGTATTGGACATAATTTTTCAACACCTAGAACCCCTCAACAAAATAGTGTTGTAAAAAGAAAGAATAGAACCTTAGAAAAAATGAGCAGAACAATGCTTCGCGAAAGCACATTATATGATCAGGAAATCAAAATGAAGGTTGATGGACACATACCAGGGAAACAAACTTGCATTAAAGATGCCTCCTGCTCAGAATGTTACCTGATTCATCCACAAAAAATTGGGGGAAAGAAAGGAAAAAAAAAACGAAAAACAAAAAGTAAATGTGAGGATTATTACAATAGAGTTTAGGTTAATGATTAATAACTAGATGTAATTCAGGAGATCATATTTTGAATTTAATGGACTGTCGATTGAAATAATAAAATTTGCTAACTAGGTCCAAATGTCAATGAATTTGGTAATCAATATTTCGCAGACAACATACATATCCAAATCCCACTCTTTTTTAGTTGTTCTAACCACATAGCAACTCATAAACTGGATCCACTTTTTACTTCAAATCCCATTTCCACAATTATTATTAGAATGAACCCAATTGTGAAAACATAAAGAAATACCCAGTCCTGCGAAAGATTCAAGAAAGACTTGTTTCAATTGCAAGACACTAACAAACAAACAAACAAACAAACAAACAAACAAACTTATATTATATAAATAAAAATGAACATTTAACATCAAACCCTCCATCTACTCCGAAAACACTTCCTACTACAACCTTGAAACACAAAAAAAATAAATATACTAGCCATGTCTTTGACGACAAACAGTATATTACCCACTATTCAGTAAATAGAGAGAGAGAGAGAGAGAACCATCTTTTTGACGAGCTGCATTTTGCGGTGGTAACTTGTGGCGGCAGCTCTATTTAGGGTTTTGATGAGCACTGTTAGCTTATAGATTCTGAGACAGAGAGACAGTTTTATATATGAAAACTTTTGCTGATTTGTGATTAATTTCACTATTTTTTATTTATAATAATTTTCCTTAATATATATAATAATTTTAGAAACATACTACATTATATAGTGTTTTATAAGAGGTGCTCAAGCCATAGATCAAAGGCCTTTTTTTGTTTTGGTCCGTAGGAAGTGTGTTTGGTTTGAGTTTTTTGAATTAAATTTTTTGAAAATTGTGTTTTTTTGTTTTTAGTGAATATTTTTAAAATTTTAAATATTTTTTTTACTTTTTTAGATGCACCTTATTTAAATGTATCTAAAAAATAAAAAATTTGTGAAAAAATATTTTTAAAAATTAATGAATACATAAAAATACAAAAAATGTACTAAATTCTAGTATTTTTTTATTTTGGTATTTAGTGAATTTTTAAAAGGTTTTTTTCAAAAAAAATTACTTTTTAGGTATATTTATGTTAGATGTGTCTAAAAATTTTAAAAATTGCTCAAAATATTAAAAAAACTCAGTAAAAACAAAAAAAACACGAAAAATAATAAAGTAGAATTTTCTGAAAAATGTTTTTGAAAAATGATAACCAAGCATTCTTTTGTTTGGGTACACAAGGATGTGCCTTTGAATTTGTTTGGATTCATGTACCTAGTTTTACATAGGGGATTTTTTTTATTTTTTTTTTAGAATTCCTAGTATTAAGATTTTATAACATAAAACATCCAATATTTTTATAATGTCTAAAGTCCCTCCAGAGAAAATTCTCTGACTTTCCCAAAGAAATTCTTTTTTTGGCCTTCCCACTTTCTAGGAAGAATTTTTCTGAACTTTTCCCTCTCCAGAGAAATTATGGACTTCCCACAAAATTCAAAGTTACCTAGTAAATAATCAGTGTTGGTGAACAAAAAGGGATTGAATTGAATTTGCATAAAATTAATAAGCTAAAATAATTATAATGAGTGACTATATATTAATAAGCTAAAATAATTATAATGAGTGACTATATATATATAGATATATACCTGAGGTAGATGGTGAGTGTGATGAGAGGGAAGGCAGTGAGGGCAAAAGTCTAACGTCCCTCTAGAGAAAATTTTCTCCAGAGAAATTCTCTCGAACAACTCTTCCTTTTCTTTTCTTGTTTGGAATTTCCTTCATCTCTAAGCTTTTCTCAACCCTCTTCTACATTTCAGACCTTAGTTATTCCCCCCCCTTCTCTCTCTCTCTGTGAAGAAATTCTTGTGTTTGGTGTACCATGAGTGTACAATTCGAAGTAAACACTTGAGGTTTCTGAGAATTTTAGAGTTCTAGGGCTTCATATTTAGTCTTTGTTTGGTTAATTTGTTTTGACTACATAATCAGTGTAGCTTTTGAAGTGAATTCATTGTTTGAGCATTTAGATCTCGTCAAGTGGACTTTGGTCTCTCATCTCACCGATGAACTCATAAATTTTGAGGGACCTTAGACTACAAAAAAAATTATTGTGGACCACCCCCCCTTATTAAAAGTTGAAAAATGATGTTAGACCAATTTTCCTTTTATATATGAAAACTTTTGCTGATTTGTGATTAATTTCACTATTTTTTATTTATAATAATTTTCCTTAATATATATAATAATTTTAGAAACATACTACATTATATAGTGTTTTATAAGAGGTGCTCAAGCCATAGATCAAAGGCCTTTTTTTGTTTTGGTCCGTAGGAAGTGTGTTTGGTTTGAGTTTTTTGAATTAAATTTTTTGAAAATTGTGTTTTTTTGTTTTTAGTGAATATTTTTAAAATTTTAAATATTTTTTTTACTTTTTTAGATGCACCTTATTTAAATGTATCTAAAAAATAAAAAATTTGTGAAAAAATATTTTTAAAAATTAATGAATACATAAAAATACAAAAAATGTACTAAATTCTAGTATTTTTTTATTTTGGTATTTAGTGAATTTTTAAAAGGTTTTTTTCAAAAAAAATTACTTTTTAGGTATATTTATGTTAGATGTGTCT